GTGGGAGGTTTACCTGGTTTCGGTAATGTGGAAATATGGGCTTTAAGCATGTCGTTAGGCATGCTGCCTGTTCTAAAGCAGTGATTAAATAGATCCGTCATATAAGGAGCCAGGATGTGTCTAAACGTGTAGTAATAAAGGTTAGTGAACCCGTCGGGTCCAGGTAATTTATGTTTTGGTAACTGTGTTATGGTTTGTATGACTTCTTGAGTCGTGAAAGGTTTGGTCAGGTTTTGGCCTTCTTCAGGCGAGAGGGATGGAAGCTGGACATCTCGTAAAAAGTAATCAATGTCACTTTGCCGGGGTGTGGGGAGATCTCTGGCCTCTGCCATGTTGTACAATTTGCTATAGTATTTGCTGAATTCTTCCACTATATCTTGTGGATTGGTAATCTTATGTCCTGCTTCTGAGTGGAGGAAGGCTATTTTTGACATTGGCGTCTTTGTCTTGAGTTGGGACGCTAAAACTTTGTCAGCCCTGTTACCCTCTTTAAAAAATGTATGTTTCATTTTGGTGAGGAGATATGTCGTCTTAGCTAGATCCATGTCTTTCAACCGGGCTTGGAGTTGGAGAATTTTTGTCGTGGTGTCATAGGAAGGAGACCTCTTGTTAGTATGCGTGAGTGTGGCCAGTTCGGTTAGGGTGTTGGTATATGTTATAAGGCGTTGTTTTTTTATTATAGCTAGCATGTTTAATAAGTTGGCCCCTAAGGACTGCTTTGTGTGTCTGCCATAGAGTTTCCACCCCTACCTCCTCGGTATTATTGAGAGAATAATATGTCTCTAGGTCTGCTTTGAGTTGTGTGATCAGAGTGTGGTCTGTCAAAAGAGTGTCATTGAGACGCCAATTTCTTCTGCCAACTACAGGGTGTTGCATGGTGGTTGTCAGTAAGATGGCGGCATGATCAGACCACGTAATGTCTCCTATATATACCTTTGTTATTTGTAATGTCTGTGATTTGGGAACCAAGAAATGATCTATACGAGAGTATGTTGTGTGGCTAAGAGAGTGATATGTGTAATCTCTATCTAAGAGATGGAATGTCCTCCATATATCCAGAAACCCATCATTTTCGCAGAACGTGCCCTTTGCTTAGATGTAGTTTTTTTTATCTTGTCGGCAGAGGTGGAATCTAGGTTTGGATCGAGGAGGAAATTTGTGTCACCACCTATTATGATATCGCCAAACTTATGTGCAACTGATAGAGTGAGAACCTTATCCAAGAAGGCCTGTTGGTCCGTGTGTGGGCCATAGACATTAACCAGGGTGAATTGGGCATTGTTAATTACACATTGTAAAATGAGATACCTCCCATCCATATCGCCTATTCTTTTTATCAATTGGAAATCTTTGCTTATCAAGATTGTCACCCCTCTTTTCTTTGATTTGTAAGTACTATGAAAACCCAG